GAGGAAGAATGATGACACTGGAAGAGATTATTATTAAAATTAATCCGTAAATAGTTACAATAGTAGAGCATTTGTGTGATATTAGGACATTCTAGGTATGTCCAACGTGATCTGTCTGCTAGTTGATATTTCTATGAATATACAAAAAGTTTAAAACATCAATTGTTTCTTTGAAACCTTAGCTATAGCAACAACAACAAAAGCATGGAAATGGCATTTGGTGAGCTGTTGATGTTTTTTCGCTTTTCTAAATGCACACACAGCCAAGTTAATTTCAGTAAAATCAATTCCACAAAATGTTGTTTTTGTTCCAACTTATCCCAGATAGCATGTATCTTGCAAGTCAGCTGAGTGGTTTTTGCAATGACAGTAGCTCAGTCAATCCAATCTAGTATGTCTTTGTTACATGGATACGTTGTGTTACTTCACAAGGATTGCACTGATAGTTTGGTCAATAGATGGCTGTGTTTCTGTTCTATTAAATGACCTTGCAGCACAAACAAGTTAATCTTCTTTAGATGGACTCAAGCTACCTTTGTTCTGTCTGCTTCAAGTTCTAGCACTTTGGCTTAACTGCAGTATGAATATTGCCTGTAGAGACTTTGCAATAAGGCAAAGAACAAAACTTTGGAACACACCAGGGTAAATAAAGAGTAAAACACAATGCATCTTGATTAAAATAAATAAATAAAAGGTTTCTATGTATTAATGCGCACATTTACTAGCCAGAGGATACATGAGAGTTATCCTTGGTTCATATTGGATGATATATGGTGATGGTGCTGTGCACTGTAGAGATCCAGATCCTTGAAGTTACAATAGTAATGCTGTGTCGTTAAACTTTTCTATTGTCAGGTAAGGCTTTTCACATTGCTATCTACTCAGGAGCTGATCCTATCTTTTGCAGTTGATCCCCTGCATTATTGTAGAGGAGGCACAGGTAAACTTGGGCCTTCCTGTTGTTTTGGACTTCAACTCCCACAATTCCTAACAGCCTATCAGCTTGTGGGAGTTGAAGTTCAAAACAGCCGGAGGGCCCAAGTTTGCCCGTGCCTATTGTAGAAGATGGTGGGACATCACATATTTTAGAACATGTGTTTGTTCACCTTGTGACTCACTCCACATTGCTGAAAAAACCCTAGAAAGCAGCCAAGATTGCCCACTATTCTGGATTGCATTATGGTGGGCAAGGTTTCACATAAGCTTGTTCCCCATAACTGGTACATGTGATAGGATGAGATTTTCCTTGAAAGGTTGCTCACTACTACAACCATGGGGATTCCTAGGAGCATAGATTGAAAACCACTGCTTTTAAAGATGTTCGAACGAAACTACCACATGCGTAGGCTCAGGCAAAAGTATTTTGAATATGACAACTTCAAACTTCAATTGATCTTAAGGACTATGGATCTAAGAATTCGTATTGGCTTTGGAGAGGGAAATTTGTGTTGCTGACTCCTGCCACCACTCCCAGCCAATGGTTAAGTGCCTAATTCATAGGGATCTATGGTAGAAATCTCAAAATGTTTATATTGGTGGTCTGTATTGGTAGAAAATACTCCAAATCCTATTTTTTGGACTTGTCTTTAATAAGGACCCGGTGGGGTGGGAGCAATGCTTTAATATAACACAGAAGGGGACCACGAAAACAACAAAACAGTGTATGTATATATTTATCTATCGCCTACTGTTTCTGTATCTGAATGGTTTGGTAATGTCAACAAAGTGATTGTTCCTATTGTGTTTACTGCTCTGAAATTCTTTGCATGAATTCTGGCATAACAAATCCTTTAATAAGAAAGACATCTATATCTATATATAACTATATATATATTGTTAGCCTGCAAAACATTCTTGTCAGATCAGCCATGTTTTGTGCTAATTGTATATTATTGTTGTGAGAAACATTGGAATATGATCTTTAATTAACTGTTGGCATTAAAAGATGTTTTTATGGATAATAAACTTGTCGCAGTGTACTGGGAGCAGGTGAAGCTCTACCAACTTTGACTATTGAAAGGAAGCTGGTGGAAGAACAGACCTACATTATACAGTAGAGTCTCACTTATCCAACACAAGCGGGCGAGCAGAATGTTAGATTAGCGAAAATGTTGGATAATAAGGAGGGGTTAAGGAAAAGCCTATTAAACGCCAAATTACGTTATGATTTTATTGACCAAAAAAGCAGTTCAATACGCGGTAACATTATGTAGTAATTACTGTATTTACGAATTTAGCACCAAAGCATCACAATGTACTGAAACAGCTATGCATCCGGGCAAGAGGCAGACTGCGTTAGATAATACAGAATGTTGGATAAGCAAAGGTTGGATAAGTGAGACTCTACTATAGTACTTATATTGACTAACTGTGTCTTCAGTTGATAAGCCAGAACCCAAGACAGTTGCAGACCAATATAAGGTGGCATGAGGGCCAAATCATCTGGGTTTTTTTTTTTGTGTTTTTTAAAGGAGTATAATGTATAGATCAAGGGAAGTCATGGTGCCCCTCTATTCTGCTTTGGTCAGACCTCACCTGGAGTATTGTGTCCAATCCTGTCATAAGGAAGAGGGAACAGGCTTGTTTCCTGCTGCCCTTGAAACTAGCACTCGGAGTAATGGGTTCAAATTACAGGAAAGGAGATTCCACCTGAACATTAGGAAGAACTTCCTGACCTTACAAGCTGTTCAACAGTGGAACTCTCTGCCTTGGAGTGTGGTGGCTGCTCCTTGGAGGCTTTTAAACAAAGGCTGGATGGCCATCTCTCGAGGGTGCTTTGATTGTGCATTTCCTGGATGGCAGGGGGTTGGACTGGATGACCCATGTGGTCTCTTCCAACTCTTATTATTCTATGGTTCTAAAAAATATGAGAAGGAATGGAAAAAAGATAATGAGAAAGTAAGGAAGAGACGCTGAAATACAAACAAATCGACCCCTTGTTTCACATAGATCGTTGCAAAGAAGGGTAAATACATTCAATCATCAGGAGAAAGTCCTGTGCTATATATTCAGTGGTATGCTTTCCTAAACTGGTAAATAGACATTAATCAGACATTAAGTAACTTGAAACTAAACTCCCTCGAACTCTGTGCAAAAAACAAAAGCACAGGATCATTCTGTACATTCTGCAGATTCTCAAGTCACTCCTGGCACGGAAAAAAACCTGTACAAAGAATATATTACAGAACTGTGTTTGTTGCCAGTCCATTTGGCCCCTGAATGTTTCCACAAGCAGGATATTAGCCCCTTGTGTCCAATTATGATGGTTGTCTGCCCATAGGAAAGAGCCTATCCAAGTTGAGACAAGTTAACAGGATTGTGGGACCCATGCATTGTTTTTGCTTTCTTTCTGCACGTATTTTTGTATTTCCAGAGCATCTTCTGGTGGGACACACAAAAAAGAGGGCGCCATTTAAATAGAGCTATATGTTTACACCCAGCAAGACACTAAATAGCTGGACAATACCTATATTTATTTATTTATTTATTTATTTATTACATTTATATGCCACCCTTCTCACCCTAAAGGGGACTCAGAGCGGCTTACAAGATATATATTGCTCTCCTGATTTCCTGGCCACAGTCTGCGTCTGCAGTAATCTTTGCTCCTAGAAATACAAAGTCTGTCACTGCCTCCACGTTTTCTCCCTCTATTTCCCACTTGTCAATCATTCTTGTTGCCATAATCTTGGGTTTTTTTTATGTTTAACTGCAACCCAGCTTTTACGCTTTCTTCTTTCACGTTGATTAGAAGGCTCCTCAGCTCCTCCTCACTTTCGGCCATCAAAGTGGTGTCATCTGCATATCTAAGGTTGTTAATGTTTCTTCCAGCAATTTTCACCCCAGCTTTCCATTCCTCAAACCCCACACATTATTATATTATATTATATTATTTATCGTGTCAGGAGCAAACAGACAGTTGTATTACATTTTAAACAAAACAAACAGACAAAACACAAAGTTTGAAAGCTTGGTAGTTGATTAAATGTCCTTTGACTGTAAGGGATCACGGGTTTAGAGTGCGGGGTCCCTTTTCGAAGAAATCCACAGAGTCCAATTGGTTCATGTAAGACATCATTTAATCAAGCTGATCAACATGAGACGGACAGAAGCACTTCTGTTTGTGCTTTCAAAGACTGCCCGCCGTCTCTGGAAATCTGCATATCTTTATACCTGAATGCAAAAGGGAAAGTACCACCAACATCAATTTTAACCTTTTACTGTGAGATCAACAATTTTAACCTTTAACAGAAGAATACTTTTTTTTTCATGTAAAGTACTCTCTTTCCAGCCCCCTCTTCCTTGACCTTCTTGTAACCTTTGAAGTTAACCACAATACAACATCCTGTGTAACACATTACCTTCGTATTGCTATTTTGCTACAGAGGAAGGGTATGTTTCTTTTTGCTTTTGCTATTAATTTAATTCAAAGCCTCTTGTTTAGTATTTGCAAATTTCGCTCAAAGACCCTTTCATGACCAGTATCTGGCCACTTGGAGTGCCTCTGGTGTTGCTGCAAGAATGTCCTCCATTGTGCATGTGGCAGGGCTCAGGTTACATTGCAGCAGGTGGTCAGTGGTTTGCTCATAATAATATATTATATTAATAACAAGCATGGGCAAAGTTGGGCCCTCCAGGTGTTTTGGACTTCAACTGCCAGAAGTTAGGAATTGTGGGAGTTGAAGTCCAAAAACACATGGTCAAAATTTGCTCATGCCTGAGATACAGCCTTAGATTCCCAACTGTGGTCTTCCAGGTGATTTGGACTCCATCTCCCAGCATCCCTGATCATTAACCAAAGCAGCTGAGGCTTCTGGGAGTTGAAGTCCACAACACCTGGAGCAGCGACTTGCCTGAAGCTGGGTACAGTGACGTCACCACGGCACTTCTCCGCCCCGCCTACAAGGGGGCGGAGCGAGCGTGCCTCCTCCCTCCCTCCCTCTCCAGCGTGGGGAGCGCGCGCAGGCCGGGTGACGTCACGCGACGCCGCTACCAATCCAGGCCAGAGCGATGGAAACGTCAGTGAGGGCGGAAGTTGGAAGAAGCAGCTTTCCGGAAGAGACTTCCACGTGTCTGTTTGTGGGGAGGCTACACACTGAGGGGCTGAGTTTCCTTCCTTCCTTCCTTCCTTCGTCAACCGGAGGCATGAGTTGCCCGGTGACCTGCGTGGCTTGGGTTCCGCGAGGCGTTGCCAAGGAGAGGCCGGACAAGGTGAGAGGTGGAATGGAAACCCTAACATAGCGGCTGAGGGGCAAAAGGAAAGGGCCTGAGGCTGTTAGGAATGCTGGGAGTTGTAGTTCAAAACACCTGGAAGGCCCAAGTTTGCCCATGCCTGCTTTACATGATACATTTTTAAATTTGATCTCTTTACATCCACACTGCAGGTCGAACTCGACAAGGAGGAACTGAAGCGCTTGATCTCCGAAGCCAAGGAGAGACTGCAGTGAGTCTTGATGATCATTGGACATGATGATGAAAATGCTAATAATAATCTTGTGTCGTATCAAAACCATGTTTGCAAAAGACGTTCGTAATGCTAGGTGACAATCTCTCTCTGTCACAGCTGCTAACAAACTGAATTCGGTCAGGAAATACAGAAATTTTCAGTTGCTACCAAGCACAATTCAAAGTGCTGATTTTAGACTATTATTACTATTATTAACTTTATTTGTACCCCGCTAACATCTCCCGAAGGACTCGGTGCGGCTTACAAAGGCCAAGGCCCTCAATAAAACAACAGCATAACAAATACAACAATAAAACTCAAAAAGTAAACCAATAAACATTAAAGCAATAACAGTAAAACAGTAAAACAATGACATCATGACACATTTAAAAACTAAGGGCCGGGCCAAATGTAATGAAAAAAATTTAAAGTGCTGAGCATAACAGGAGAAATGTAAGGATTTTATGGTAGGTGCGACAATCTTAAATCTCTAATAAAGTGCATTTGGGACATGAGGCTGGGAGTTTCCTATTCTGGAAAGGCACACTGGAACAGCCAGGTCTTCAAGCTCCTCCTAAAGACTGCCAACGTTGGGGCTTGTCTGATGTCCTTGGGGAGAGAGTTCCAGAGTCGGGGGGCTACCACAGAGAAGGCCCTGTTCCTCGTTCCCACCAAACACGCTTATAATACCCTAAACCAGTGTTTCTCAACCTTCCTAATGCTGTGACCCCTTAATACAGTTCCTTGTGTTATGGTGACCCTCAACCATAACATTATTTTTGTTGCTACTTCATAACTGTAATTTTGCTCATGTTATGAATCGTAATGTAGATATCTGATATGCAGGATGTATTTTCATTCACTGGGCCTAATTTGGTACAAATACCCACCCAAATTTGAATACTGGTGGGTTGGGATTGATTTTGTCATTTGAGAGTTGTAGTTGCTGGGATTTATAGTTAACCTTCAATAAAAGAGCATTCTGAACTCCACCAACGATGGAGTTGAACCAAACTTGGCACACACAAGTCCCATGACCAACAGACAATACTGGGAGGGTTTGGTGGGCATTGGCCTTGGGTTTTGGAGTTGCAGTTCACCAACATCCAGAAATCACTGTGGTCTCAAAACAGTGATGGACCTGAACCAAACTTGGCACGGGTACTCAGTATGCCCAGATGTGAAGTGAACACTGGTGGAAAATAGACCTTGACATTTTGGAGTTGTAGTTACTGGGATTTATAGTTCATGTACAATCAAAGGGCATTCTGAACACCACCAATAATAGAATTGAGCCAAGTTTCCCACACAGAACCCCTGTGACCAACAGAATACTGTTTTCTGATGGTCTTTGGTGACCCCCACAGGGGTCCGCATTCCCAGGTTGAGAAACACTGCCCTAAACGGTTCCGGCCCAGCATACCTGTCGGAATGAATCTCTCCCTATGAACCATAGCAAAGTTTAAGATCATCTGGGGAGGCCCTGCTCTCGGTCCCACCTTCTTTGCAGGCGGAACTGGTGGGGACAAGAGATGTGGCCTTCTCAGTGTTGGCACTTTGGCTGTGGAACTCCCTCCCTAGGGATATTAGATCAGCCCCTTCCCTCCTGACCTTCTGCAGAAAAGTGAAAGCATGGCTTTTTGAACAAGCCTTTGGGAACCTAGTGCAATAGACAAACACAGAACTATGTGAAATCAAATACTGGAACGGCTTAGACAATGTTTTTGGACGATGAGGCTAATAGTGAAAGTAGTGGTTTTATATATTTTTAAAGGTTTTAATGTATGCATTTTATAATTCTGTTTTAAATGCTTACTGTATTTTTTACATTGTTTTAATGACATCGAATAGCTGCCTGTGTTGTAAAGCTGCCTTAAGTCATCTTCAAGTTTGAGAAAGGCAGGGTAGAAATATCGTAAATAAATGTACGTGTAAAAATATGAGGGCAAAAGAAAAACTTTTAGAAAACCATGACCTTTTAAAGATCATAACCTTTTAGAGAAGAGCCAAAAATTGTTTGAGTAGAATCTTCTCTAGTAGTATACAACCAAATGTAATTATGCAAAGCAATTGGCTTCAGTTGTTAGACTGAACAATGCATCGAAAGGGACATATTATCTTTGATCTGTTAGGAAACAAAAAATATGCCTGTGCATAAAAAACAGCAGTGTTTTTCCATTCCCAAAAGTATATATCTACTCTCCCATAAAACAACTTGTTTTATATTTTGCACGCAAGAGAGAAAATAAAGTAGACTTTGGTAAAAAAAACCCAAAATCCACATATTTGGTTTACTCACAACCTTCATGTGTTCAGCATACACAGGTTCACAACTTATCTGTCAGTTACACTTACGTTTGAGATAGTTTCCGTGCCATGCGGTCAGAACATCTCCCTTGCAATAAACAGCAGGCAATTGTTTGCAAGTCTGCAATCCGAGCACTCCCAAAGTCTAAAGATATCTGTTCTTGTCTCATAGTGGATCACATGGTCTGCAGCTCCTCCCACAACCTTTCAGGAAAAAACATAGAGCAAGGAAAGAAAGCTGCATATTCAGAACTCACATACAATAAGTAAGCAACAAGACTATAGATAAACAAATTATTAGAGGAGGCTTCAAGAAGGTTGTAATTTCCAACAAAAACATCTTGTGGTTTATTCGTAGATATGGTTTTTTACAAGAATGCAAACATATATAATTCAATAATATTGGGTTCAAAATGTGTTATTACCTCTGTTACATGTTTTTTTGTTATCTCCACATAGTACTTTATAGAATCGCTTTGGAATCAAAGATATTATATGAGATTCTAAACAATTCTTTTCACCTTGATCTGCAGAGGAAAATACCTGCCAGTAGTGTTGGTCTAGAGATTCCAAACCGTGTTAGTTGCTATTCGATATGTATTTAGTTAGGCTGGATCTACACCGCCATATAAATTCCCAGTTATCTGATTAGAACTATATTATATGGCATTGTAGACTCATAATCCAGTTCAAAGCATATAATGTGGATTATCTGATTTGATAATCTAGATTATATGGCAGTATAGAAGGGGCCTTAGTTGACTTATTTCTTAGTGCACTTATTTCTGTTGTCGTACGTATAATTGCATCACAGTGAATCTACGGCTTTAGATGATGCAGAGACTAATGGAGAAAGTTACTGCTAAACCAAATTCTTATTTGTATAAATCTTGCCACTGATTGGGAGGACATTTGTTGTTCTCATTAGTAATGCTGTGCACTTCAGTACCAGTGACCTGAGTGAACCTCCATTAAATAATGTGAGATTTATGGCTGAATCCTTTACTGGAGGGTGCATCCCACAGAGTTCAATAGAACTGTCTCTCTCTTAAATATGATTAAGTTTACAGAGTTACTGGCCTAGTAATGATATGAAATTGTGCACTTGGCAATAGTTCACATAATGATCTTTTATGGCATTGACTTGTTCCAATGTAATGAATGTAATTTCAAAACAATTCTTACCTAAAGGACAGGAAATAGTGATGATGATGATGAACAAGAAGAGGCTTCAGGAGAAGCCATGGATGTTGCAGATGTAGCTACCTCTGCCTCCCAGGATGAAGACCCTGAAGAGTCTGAAAAGCTGAATGATGATGAATTAGCAGAATATGACTTGGATAATTATGATGAGGAAACTTCAGGTAACATTAAATTTCTTAATCTTTTCCATACTATTCACCATCTGAGTCTCTGAAACTTGTTATGAAAGGTTGTGGGTTTTCTTTTCTTAATGGACTGGAATATGCATATGTGAAAACAATCAGGGTAGCTAACATCTCCCAAGAAAGGATACCCCCAGGCAGGAAACAGCCAGATTTTGTAGCTGCAAGCTCATTAAGTACTAATTAAGATGGCCAGTTGCAATATTCACACTTGTCTCAAACAGACAAAAGTTTTTTCTTCCACCTTTGAGATTCCACAGATATAGAAACCTCACTTGTCTAGGTTCCAACAGACCTCACAACTTCTGAGGATGCCTGCCATAGATGTGGGTGAAATGTCAGGAGAGAATGCTTCTGGAACATGGCCATACAGCTTGGAAAACTCACAAAACAATCCAGTGATTAGGGGATTGAAAGCCTTCAATAACATTCTGTGTTTTCTCTGGGGTCTCAAATATCACATTGCAAGGCTGCTTGGTGATGCATTTTGCTAAATAATAATTCACTGTAAGAAATTGCTTTTAGGTTTCATTATGAAATTTTCACCAACTGAGCAAATTACCTGCAATCTTTAAGCAATGACTGTTCCTTTGTAGGTGCTGAGAGTCTTGGAGAGACCCTAGCAGGCCTTACAGTTTATGGCAGCAATGAAAGTGATCCTTACGTCACTATAAAAGATACAGTGAGTTCTAATGCTTGGTTATTTTCATTTAAGAAAGGAAACTATTGCTGAAATGTTCACTGAAGATGAAATCACTTTGTGAATGTATGTTCATATGATGTCCAGTCTTTTCTGTGTTGCTTGTTGGGAGGGAAATCAAGTTTAAACTTTAAAGAAGTAAATGACTGACACGCAGGCATATTTTCACACTAGGTTATTCACTCTTTTGATTGCATACTAAATTATTACAGTGGTCTCTAATCTTTATAGTTTTTAGTTTCTGGAGAATTTGTTTTTGAGTGTTTCACATTGAAGACCTTATGTATTCAATGTTGTTAATAGTTTAGAAGGCAGTAATGATTTCATCTGTTGCTTGGTTGGCAGGACACTCAGTCTTCATTTACTTTTAATTATAGCCTCATGAAGGGTCTTTTGAGATGGGCCTGTTTTCTCAGCTTAATTTGTGTACTGTGTTTTTCTTGGCTCTCTTAGTCTAGTGGTAGATCGAATGAACTGAAGTAAATCAACTAGATGTTCTCATATATTTATTTTTTTTAAGAATAGAGCTGTCTTTTCTATTAAATTGAGAAATCAAGACAGCTCAGAAGGAAAGCCAAAATAGAGATATATGCAGTCGACTCTCAGGTAACTAGAACTCTTAAGCAGCTGGTAAAAAAGCCAAAGAAATAATACTTTAAATAAAAATTAAAATAAATTCAGTTTTTATAAGACATTAAGTTTGTCTTTATTTGCTTTTAATTACTGTATTTCAATATTAATATCAAGTCAATATAGAGTTTATGGTATGGAACAATATGGGGCATAATATTAGTTAGGTCTGTTTTTAATAGTAACTTCTAGGAACCAGAAAATGCCTTTGTCTGGCATCTACCAATCCCCATGGGTGCCAGTTAGCTGAGAGTCTCCTGTCAATAAATATTCACAGTTTTGATGCCACTATTAGTTTTATTGTCAGGGGAGCAGTGGCCACATGCAGCTTTTGATTACATTTTGCTGTCCCTGACTACAGTAATACTATAGTACTACTGAGTTTTCTCCATAAAAATGTTTAAAGCCTGCTTTAGAAGCTCTTTAATCTTACTCCTGTTTTCTTTCAGGAGCAGTATGAGTTGGAGGACTTTGTGATTAAGCCCAGTGACAATCTTGTTGTATGCGGCAGAGTTGATAAGGACCATTGCACTCTAGAGGTTCACGGTGAGTAAAACCTATTGTCTTTTTAATACTATGCTCGAAAAGACAGCTTTTTCATGATATAAAAATGGTTTCTTTTGTTCGTAATTTCAAGAGCTAGTTACCTTTATATCTGAATTCTTCCTGTGTTTTAAGTATGTGTATGTTTATTAAAATCAACTATGTGATACATAAATGCAATTCCCAGAAGCCCTAGGCAGCAGAGCGAAAGATGAGCAGAGCTGGGAGTTGTTATCCAGCAATATCTGGAGAACCACATGGCTTTCATCCTGGTTGTAAATGCTGTCTTAAGTTTTAATAGGGGAATAACAGCTTTGAGTCTCCTTTGAGAGAGAAAAATGTAGATATAAATACTATTACTAGTATTAATAATAATTCTCTGCTATTCATGTTGCTTTTCATGTAATATTATTATTATTATTATTTATTTGTATGCCAACCTATCTCCCCAAAGGGAATCAGGGCAGATGTACAGTAGGGTGCAGAAGCCCTGCACAAACTGAAAAAACACTATAAAAATGCTATTTTCCCTCCCAAGAAAACACCTCTCTAGGAATCTCTACATCCTTCAGAACAACTTGTGGTCAACTTCTAATGGAAGCTTACCATAGGATTTTGCAGAATGTAAATCTGCAGATATGAGAATGTGCTAAATCAGAGTTTGATTCGGCTATATTATGAACAATAATGTTTCAAATTATTTTAACCTAATGTTTTATCTTTTGCATAATGTTGTATGTAATGTGTTGTATGTTGCCGGCATCGAATTGCTGCCGTTGTAAGCTGCCCTGAGTCTCCCTTTGGGAGTTGAGAAGGATGGGGTAGAAATGTTGGAAATAATAAATAATAATTCCTTGAACTGGATGGCCCTTGTGGTCTCTTCCAACCCTATAACTCTATGAATGTGTGTTCTGTTTCATACATTTCATTGGTAGATGCATGCTTTGTTGACTTGTTCACTATCATTTTATTGATTGTGGGAAAACGTAATTATTTCAGTTTATAATCATGAAGAAGACTCCTTTTATGTCCATCATGATCTCATCTTATCTGCGTACCCTTTAAGTGTGGAATGGCTGAATTTTGATCCCAACCCAGATGATTCTAGAGGTGAGTTAAACACAAATTGGGGACTTTAATAATTTCCCCCTGCTGGTTTTAAGTCAAGAATGGTACATCTTCTCACTACTGTCTTCTCTCTTTTGCTATGTCTGACTTGTCATTTCTTTTGATTTATATGGCTGAGAAGTGTTCTTCCGCAGGCGGTAACTTCTTAAATTTGGGGAAGGATTGAAAAAAATCAGCAGAGCTCTTAGCTGTTAAGGTGAAGGCCTATCTCCAATTCTGTTTAGCTATCTTTGTTGTAACATACAATCCTTCACAAGTCACACGGCCATGGCATTATCAACATTTGAGCTTTTTTTTTTGTAGGTACAGATGGGCAACTGTTCCAAATTCAACTTCTTGCTTGTCTTGCCCAGTTTCCTAATATTTTATATCAGATTAGTTGTAGAATGGTAAATGTCTTCATGTTTGTTGTTGCCATAATGTTGCTTTTCCAAAATATTATTTCTACCAGGCCATTAAGATACTCCTTTTGTCTTGCACAAATTGACAATTGCATACTACATTTTGTTCTGAAAAAGCTATAAATGAATGCACTTTCATATGTACACACTTCAAAATCTATATTGGAATTAAGGGAAACCTGGGCTCTAATTCCCACTCCCATGTGGAGGTTAAAAACCTACATTGACTTTTTGGGTGAAACACATAATGGAAATACAATACTTTAAATGCAATGTATTTCTCCTTCAGGAAATTATATTGCAGTGGGCACAATGAACCCTGTGATTGAAGTATGGGATCTTGACATTGTTGACTGTTTAGAACCAGTCTTTTCCCTTGGAAGCAAGAAAGCAAAGAAAAAGAAAGGAAAGAAGGTAATTACACATATTTCATAATATTGTTCAAGGACCAGATAGAAGTCCTCTCTTTTTCTTGTATCTGAAGAGTTCAATCATACTATATATCTTATATATTTAATTACATATTGGAGAGTTGTTTTAAAACAGACATGGTTCCACACCCCTTTCTTTTTAGACCACATCAGCTGTAGTTTCTGATACAGAACATATGCCATCCAGAAGTTTCCATCTGCTCACCCTCAGAAAACCATATTTAATAAGCCTCGGCACTATAAGAGGGTTTGTGAGACCAGTCGCTCTCATTGGAACGGTGTAGTAATGTTGAAGCCACGAACTATATTTTAGTTCTTATGGACCACTGGTTGGGAACCACTGTTTTAGACTAAGGGATTGAAGGTTCTTTAACATTTGCCCGGTAAACAAATCCTAGAAATCCAATATGTGATTTTGGTAATAAAAAAAGGTGCAGACTTTTAGAATTAATATCAGCACTCTGCTTTAAGCCTTCTTAAGTGTTAGAATCTCAGGATATTTATATGGGAGAATGAGCAAGCTCTCTAGTAATCTTTTAGGCTGTTCTTTGCAGTCATAGATACACAAACATATACAGTCCCCCTAAGAGAAAACACAAATATATTAAGTTCTGGATACTTTGCTTCCATCACATTATACAGCATGACATATGAGTATCATACATCCATTATAATATATTTACAGTGTATTCTAGAATAGAGCAAGTAAGTTGTTACTCTTTCATAAGAATCTTTATATCTCTCTAGCAGGATTCTCCATAGCTTAACACTTAAAGAAATATTATTGTCTTAAACAGTATAACCATAGCCATTTGTCTATTTAGAAACAGCATCTCATTGATTGAGGAACTCTAAGCATCTCTTAATGGGCATTTGTGAACTCATAGTTATGCAAGGGTTTAATACACTTTGTACTGTTAAATCTTACATTATGCACTGCCTATCTGTATATCCATAATAGGCATCCATTACAATCAGAATAGAAAACATAACTATGTTAGCAGAGCCCAGTTGTTTTTCTTTCTAACAGTACCTATCAGTACAGAACAGTGCAGGGTTGGTATCTTTTAGGAAAATGTGAGCACACCTTTCCAGTATAAGATAAAAGCCCTAACCATGGGGACATATGACCGCATTTTTGGGATGTGCTATAGCATAGTGATGTCCCACACATTTTGCATTCAGCCCTTGGCATCTCTAGGCTAGACCGGTATAGATTTTGTAACTGCCAAATTCAGTTCAAGGCAGCATAGTTTATGAGCAAAGTAGAAACAAGTGTGGCATAGTAGATTGAATGGGAGACCAGATTTGAAAATTTATTGGGTGACATTGGACACCTGAGGAAAACAGTGGCAATCCCTTTCTGAAACAAACATTGCCAAGAAAACCCTGTCAACATACAACAATAGGAGAATTTACATTTTGCTTCAACATCTGCAGAAATATTATGTCCGTGTTTTTTAAAAAAAATAAAATTTAAAATATGTATCAAAATTAATTAAAAAATCAAATACAATTGCTAATGTTTTATATAAGTGGAAGATATGCAAACTTGTTATTTTTTATGAAGGGTGCATCAAAAGAAGGCAGTCAAGGAGGACACACTGATGCCGTTCTTGATCTTTCATGGAATAAACAACTCAGGTACAAATAAATAATGTAATAGTATCTTGTAGAAAGAGTTGTTGCTTCAGTACCAGTGCTGTGTGTTTGCCTCCCTGGTGCTTGCTCTTGAGTAGGAGAGGTGGGCCTCAAATTCTTATTGCTGCCCTTTTTACTATATATATATGTTCCTTTATATCAGGTGATCGAGTTACCATATTTCCTATAAGATTCTTCTGAAAACTTTGTTCAGTTTTGTTTGGATGTCTTTAGAAACTCTTCCAAATTTTATCCAAATGTTTTGAGGTCTACTGGGAATCAGCGTTACTGATGATTACTGTACAGTTATTATATAATTATGTGAGATTCTCAGAGCATTTCAAAAGATGAAATTTTAGCGGCTGATTAGGAGTCGAGTAAATAGGCAAAGCCTCTGACAGGTAGATATTACTGTGCTAATCTCCCTTTTACAGTGAGTTGCAGAAATATTTATTCCCCTTTGACTTTCCACTTTTGCAGTGTTAACAGCTTGGAACTGAAATGGATTTAATTGACATTTTCCATTTTATTACACAACCTACGCAACCTTGTTACTTTTAATTGTGGCACAGGGTTAAGTAAATGGGAAACAAGTTGGCACTGTTTCTGTAACTATTTACCCTCTTGGTGTGACACGTCCCACAATGCTGTGGTGCAACCCACTACCTCCAAAACTCTCATTGGTAGTCGGGTGGAGTTCACATTAACAATTCCAGTGGGACAAGATCTTAGAGTATATACCTCTATTTCTGAAAAGCATTGCTAAATATAGTTTATTGAAAGCCAAGGAACTATCTAAACAAGTCTATGATAATTTTGTACAGAAGTAGTGTTGGGTTACAAAATAATATTCCAAAGTATGAACATCCCTTGGAGAGTTATGAATTCCATTATTACAAAACAGAAAGAATATGGCTCAATTACAATTCTGCCTGAGAAGACTATCCATCTAAACTCAGAGACCCAAAGCACAGAAGAAATCAGACAATTTTGCTACCAAGAATGATAAAAAATTGGAGGATCTAGATATGCAAAGCCGACAAGCTCTGCATTATAACAGCTGTTAAAGGTTCCTACCATGTATTGACTTGGTGGTGAATACGTACACAGCTAATAAGCACCAGTTGCTTTTTGTTTACTTAACTTTGGAACCAAAACAAAAACTATGTGTACCTTCATAGTAGAGGAAAGGTGCAAAACCTGTCATTTCAGTTCCACATTGGAACATTAAAAATGTGGAAAAGTCAAGGATGTGAATGTTCTACAAAGCACGATATCTGGCACTGGCAGAGTAAAAAAAACCAAGCCTGTAGCAGCAACCCTGTCAATGGCATTGGCCATTTAAGTGTAAGTCATACATATCAGCAAGTGACTAAACTTCATATTTCAAAACAGTAGAATTGATTTTTGTCTTCAGTGCTTCTATTGCATGAACAAATGCTGTGTATGCACCTGCACTTGGGCTTTAGTGATATCAATCAATGGTACTTCTTCCAGATCTGTGTTGGCGAGTGCATCAGCTGACCATTCTGTGATTCTTTGGGACATGGCCACAGGGAAACCAGCAGCAAACCTTGCCCTTCACACAGACAAAGTATGTTCTTCCTTCAAGAAGCATAGCATTGCAACCAAAGTCATCAAAACCTAAATCCAATTGTTCCAGTTATAACCGTAAAGACTCTCTGAAACCTGAGTTTGTTCATTGTTGTTATTACATTTCAGTGAGTGAGAGCAATTCTAGATTCACACCTTCAAGTTCAACATTGTCTGAATTCCAGGCAAATCACACAGATTAATCAAATATGGAGGTGGAATGGATAGCTCATGTTGTGAAATGTTTGGCAACCCTGTCATCCACTCCTTCCAGTACCTTGAAGCATAAGTTATGCATGTTTACTGTATTACCATCAAAATAGTATTCTGAACAGGTTTTGTGGTATGACAACTGTAGTAAAAGATAAAGGGAAATTGCTTTTGAATTAGGACCTGAAATTATAATTTTGCAAGGTAGCAGAGATAGTGGCAGCTCAGGGAGGTTACCAGTTCAACTTGATTAGTCAAGCAGAACAAATTTTCAGAACTTGACATTCCCAGCTCTGCAGCTTTGAATTACAAGAAATGTGCTGTATGGATGAATGCTAGTTTTATTGTTATTTAAACTATAGATATTCTAAGTAAATTCCTCACCATCTACTAGAGCTCCAGATTTCTTTTTATTGTTTCAAGTTTTTTTTTAAGTGCACTTTATATGTTTTATATACTAATGGGTGTATAGCACTAATGTAATAGGTAATGCACTTTATGCATTTCCATATAATGGTAATTATTTAAAATGTATGCACTGTGAGAATAAATTTCAATATACATGTTTAAAGTATAGTTTTCTCTATAGGTACAGACACTACAATTTCATCCATTTGAAACACAGACTCTGATTTCCGGCTCTTACGACAAGTAAGGAAGGGCCTACTTTATTTTCACTTTTTCATTTGTAAAATTAGGTTTGCATGTTTGTTGAAGAAATAAAGAAATCATTAATGCAATACAAAATAATTTTTGATAAATGTATGTATTTGAGTATGGGGTTCTGTTAATTATTTTGTGAACATTGTGCTTCTAAAACATCAAATGATCGGCCTTCTAGCAATTTTTACCTGGTTCATAGAAACACTACTCAGTGAATTCTTAACTGTGATGAATATTCTGACTTTGGATGCAGTTTTATATGAAATGTCAGCCCTTAGATGCTACATGAATGTTAGTTTATTATAAATAAAAACTCCAATACTAAACTTGAATAAATGTACCAATGATATGTTTCAGGTCAGCCATTTTGTATGACTGCAGAAGTCCACAGGATAATCATCGAATCTGGCGGTTTAGTGGACAGGTTGAAAGAGTGACGTGGAATCATTTTTCTCCTCAACATTTCTTAGTAAGTACATGTATTATTATATCCTATTATTATTACATTTACATTATTTTACTCTATTGTTATTTTTATTACATTTATTATTTTACTCTATTATCACATTTATTATTTTTCTCTATTATTGTTATTACATTTGTTATTTTATTCTATTATTATTACATTTATTATTTTACTCTATTATTACACACACACACACACACACACACATAGTGCATATGAAACATCAGTTATTTTTTTGTGTTTAGACATAGGTCCCATCTCCAAGGTAACTCATTATGTACAAAAATGCAAATACAGGCATTCCAGAATATCAAAGAATATTAAATCCAAAGCACTTCAAATAAAGAATACTCAAATCTGTATAATAATCAACTAGAAGTAAGTTAAGTAGCAAATTTGAAATCTGAGTTTTGATACTGTTGATACTCTTTGATATTTGGTCAGTAACAAGTTCTACTGAAGGAACATTTTAAGAAAATAGGAATTCAGCACTTCTAATAATGGAGGGTCTTACCTGCATAAACACTGCTTATCTCTCTTCTCTTTTCTTTCTCCCTTCCCTTATTTCTGTGCCTGGATAAATGGGAGGCCAAATAGCGCCACCTGTCTATCTGGATTTGACTTCTTATTGTTTTTCAACATAAGTCTTTTCTCTAGGCCAGCACAGAAGATGGATTTGTGTACTGCCTCGATGCCCGTTCACATAAACCAGTTTTCACAATGAAAGCTCATGATGGAGAAGTATCTGGTATTTCTTTTTCTACTACTACTACTGCTACACATTAACAAATGTTGTTTGGTCATTCATTATCTCTACTATAAATGGGGCATTTCCTGTATACTCAGTCCTGAGACAAATGCGTTTTTGCAACTCTGCTCTGTAATGTGCACTTATCTATTTTAGGATATCAATTATACCTCTATTTAGCGATAGTTCAGAATATTTTTAGCATAGAAAAGCTTTGTTTTTACCTGTGAAAGGAAAGAACCAACCTTTACCATTTGCCATTACTGGCCTTGGAATTTGGGAAGCACTTTGATTAGGCAACTTTGTTGTTTTCCTGAACTTGAAAGTGGAGTAGGAATATTGTAATCCACAATGTTTTTTGTCTGGCCCGATTATACTGGAAGTTGCCTGGATTGAGGATAGTGGCTCTTTCCAAGGGATGGGATCATTCTTCATATTTAGCTCTAGATGTCATTCTGATTTAAGCTCTTAATGAATTCTTCCCTCTGAGGCTGTATGTACACTGTCATATAATCCACTTCAATTCAATTAATCTGTATTCTGAAACTGAATTATATGGCAGTATGACTCCAGCCAGCCTGAATTTTACTATATAGCAAAATTATGTTGTTGTTTTTTTCAGGACTACAGTTAAGCAGCCAAATTAAAGGATGCCTTGTTACAACATCAGAAGATAAATATGTGAAAATCTGGGACATATTAGGAGACAAACCTAGTTTGGTTCATTCCAGGGATATGAAAATGGTAAATTCAGTTATCTTTTTAAAAACATATCAGTACAGCCTGGTTTTATTCTTGTCGCTTTAAAGAGCATCCTGTAAATACACCCTAATTCTAGTGAATCAGGAATTATTTTAAGAATTGTTTGTTGTGACACATTACTCCAGTTCGTCTCATTTGTGTTCATTGAAAAGCCAGGTATAAATTGGCTTCCTGTTGCTGGAGGCACAACAGGTTTCTACAGGGATCCTGCAGAGTATTGTTCCCGCAGCACGGCCAACTATAAGTAAATACATGCTTGTGTGTTGGTGCTCCCCAGTGAAATGTAAATGGCCATGCTGGAGGGTAGTATTTCTGAAAAAGTATGTTTAGGATTGGGGACCCTGTTTGATTTGTGAAGAATTGTGACCTTTGCAACAACCAGAAAAACAGGTTATGGTAGTGTAAATTATCATAACCCCACTAGTAGAACAGCAGCCTTAAATTTTGAAGGAATTGACAAATCCTTAAGATTTCTTTCCTGGGTGATGCAAGTGTTTAACCTCAGGCAGGCACGAGCAAACTTTGGCTCTTCAGATGTTTTGGACTTCAGCTCCCACAATTCCTAATGGCTGGTACCTGACCTAAGGTATGCATAATTAGTAGGTCAGTGAGGGATCATGAAGAAATCACATTTGTTTGACTTCTGCCCACAGGGTGTCCTCTTCTGTGCAGCTTGTTGCCCAGACCGACCATTCGTCTATGCCTTTGGAGGGGAAAGACAAGGACTACGTGCTTGGGACATAAGCACAATTTCTGCAGGTGATTAATTCTCGCATACATTGCTTTTGTTGTGTGTGCTATTCCACAAAAGTGCAGTCTTCAGATGTATTACTTAGTGACATTTGAAAAATAGGGCACAAATGGTCAGGAAAGGAAGGGCTATACTATCACTTATTTAAATTAGCTTAAATCAGCTCTTGGTTTTGATTCTATTTCAAAATAAAGCTATGGGCAAAGGTCCTTCTCTACCCCTATACACTTCTGAACAGTACAGGATGGAGTTCTTTCCATTTTATGTCCTCCAGATCAACTGTATTACAATTCCTCTTATGAAATGAGTTCTGGTGAACACATCTGGTGATGGTTTGAAGAAGGCTGGTGTAAGGACCTCTTCTGCTACTTCCAGTATCTCTTATCATGGCAAAGTTCATTCCCAGTGTTTCCCTGAGTGTTTAGGTGAATTTTATTTTTTGCAAAAGAACAGAAACTGTGCAGTGCTCCTGGTATAAATACTGGTAGTTTCCTGGAGCAGAAGTAAAATATGGAAGTACCACATTTTAATATGACTTGTAAGACAGTTCCCATCATTAATGCCAGTGGTCCTGTACTAATCCTAACAATAGTGCATACTCTTGTTTGTTACAGTGAATGAAGTTTTTGGAAACCGGCAGAGGTTAGTGGTTGCCCAAACAAGTCATGAAGCTGAAGCACAGACTTCTGCAAACAGCAGCAATGCTCCAGAAGCTATTACAGAATCATGATGTAATTTAACTCTATACATATTCAATGCTAATAATTATGATTTCTGTAAAATTTGTATTTTATCATGATACTTTTGTAATTGCCTTTTTTGTGCCTGCTTCAACAGCAGGTTAGTGCAGAGCTGTGGTTTGCTTTATAAGCTGTTTTCCTGAAGAGCTAAGCGGTTTGTGTAAATCAAGAGGTGGAAGATGCAGTCCAGCATCTACACAACAGTGTTACAATCCTAAGCTACAGGTCCAGTATAAATGAAAGGGCCTTCTGGTCACCTTTCAGTAATTCAAATAGCCATCACTGAGGGGGTACGTTAGTGTCCTGTTGAAAAATGTCCTTGTTGAGGTCTTTTGGGCTGGAACTAGAGAGCTGTAATTAATGAACAGATTAAAAAAGAGTATTTTATTATTTGTCTGTAAGGAAACCGTTTTTAAATGATATTGTGATTCCATAAATACATTAGCAGCAGAATGCACAACTTCCCAAAAGTAGTGATTACCAGTTACAGTACAGAAGGTACTATATGTTGTAACCACTCATGCCAAACCAAGCCTACATTGCAAACACAAGTGTGCCTTTTTGCATGGCTCCCACACCACTCCACTGGAACAGACAAGTTGTCAACAAAACTGACAAATTAATCCATTAGTATATATTGAATGCTCATTTCAGATTGTTCCTGATGTGCCAAATGTAATTTATACAACAGGAACAATCAGAGCACTGGACTGCTGTGATGAAATTTGATTTGTATACTGAGGTACCATTAACTGTAGAAGATTGCTGATACTGTTTCAACATTTGGCTGATCAGAACTGTACCTGCTTCATTCTAATAGTAATTCACGACATATCACCCATCTCACCAATAGCACAGTTTTAACAGATGGAAGTGGGTAGTTACATTGGTTTAGGTTTTCTGGAAGTCCTTCAAAAAGAGTTCATAAACAATTTTCTTCAGGAGAGTGAGCCCCATTGAGAAAAAGGTTCACTATCGAAAAAAGTCAGTTTGAAAAACATGATTTTAGAAAGTGGAGTCCATTTACACTTGTAGGAACACCATTTCCAGCATGTCTCTTGTCACATACATGTCAGTCTGGAGTCTGCAGTGTTTATCAATTCTTCTTCTTCTGAAGAAGAAGAATCATCGTCGTCATCTTCCTCCTCCTCCTGGGTTGAGAGGCTGCAGGTTGGTCCTTTGCAGATTTTTAGGTGGCGTGTGAGGTGGTATTTGGTTAAATAAGCCTTGGAGCATTTTTCACAGACATAGTCCCGCTTTCCTTCATGAGAGTTTAAGTGTTTCTTTAGATGGTTTGTCCTTAAGAAGAGCTTCTCACATTGGGGACACTTGATCTGACGTTCTCTAGAAGTGGAAAGAAAAATATTGTAGTTGGGTAAAAGTACAGCTGTATCGAGGCTGAATATGACAGTTGCTTCAGAATATGAAAGTTCAATCTTGCCAAACATTTTTTACTTGTTCCAACCCTGTCTTTACATTTTTATTTAATATCCAGGAAGCTACAATTTTACACGCACAGATCTCCACACAATAAATCTGAGAAATGTATTTCTCAAAATTGCAGCAACCTATGACAATCACAAGAACAAGAGCAAAACAATCAAGACTACTGCTCTCCAGATTGCCTACAGAGAAAGTATCATTTCTTTGAGTTTTCTTTTCTTCTATCTATAGTGAAAGACCATGAAAAAAATACTGAAAGTCAGAAGTACTATATTTATTTATTTATTTATTTATTTATTAATACGCTTGTATACCGCTAATATCTCAGCCTAAAACGGCGACTCATTGTGGTTTACAACACTTAAAACAACAATATTCAATTTAAAAACATAAAATACATATACAGTACACAGTATCGGGCCACCAATACAGACCGATGCATCTCTTAGTTAAAATCATAATCCAATTTCGTCGTCTATAATTACCAGTCCTTGATCATCAACTCAAGGTTAATGCCAACTCAAGGTTATATAAAAGGTTAATGCCTGAATTTTAATACTACATTGACTTCACTTTCAGAGTGAGAACAGAGGTCTCCAAAACATCTAAAGAACACTATTTGCTCTTTCATTATATGGTGATGTAAAAAAGGATAATTCTATCATTTAAATTTTAGTGTCTTAAAAAATCATGAGCCTTTTTCTTCATTTGAACAGTCATCCTGAGAATTTTTTTAGACTGATATATATCCATTTAATTGCGCGCATATATATATATATATATATATATATATATATATATATATATAGTGTCATAATATAATATATAATATATATATTTGGTTAAATGTGCCAGTAACCTATCCCGGGAGTGTTCTCTCACCTAGTCTTGTCTGTTGTACCTGCATTTTGCAGAGATAGTCTTTAGAGAATTGAAGGGAACTCTGTGTAATCCTGAAAAACCTATCATTATAAGCATTGGTATAAAAATGATTGTTTGGTCCATATTGAAACCCCCTGCACACACTATGCTGTAGCTACTCTATTAGATAGGATTTAGATCCACAGACATACATTAAATTAAGTTCTATACTTTCATCTCATGGCAACTTTTGTTTCCTCCACAATATTGACTTTGCCTTATGATGACCCGTAATCCTACCACCATTGTGTGAGGCAGAGGAACACGTGTCTCTAGGCCTCTAAATATCTTTAGACAAATCTGTAGTCTTTCAAGGATCCTCTCCCTTGCAAATTACTCACTGTGTATGGGTAAGTACATGTTGCTTGAGGTCCTGTCGTCGCATGAACAGTTTTTCACAGTAATCACACTTCAGGTTTTTCTCCCCAGTGTGGATAACCATGTGTGACTCGAGGTGGGCCTTCTGAGTAAAGGACTTTTCACAGAGAGAACAGCGATAATTCTTTTGACCTAGAATGAAATAAGCAGATTTTCATTCTCAACAATATAAACATAGTTTGAAACCAGGATGATGAATGTCTAACGTGCTATAACAGCTACTGAATCACATATGCAATTCACTATCAATTCAGTATTGATGGAAAGGGAATATACGTCTCCATGAACTTTCCTCACATTTTACTGAAAACTCTGAAGCACAACTCTGTAATTCTCTAGAAACTCCCAATGAGCATTCCTTATGTTTGAATGCCACCTTAATAATGTCTCAAAAGAGAATTGTTCTTCAAAGCCTGATGCTATTTCCTAATGATTCCTTTTTTAAAAAAGTATTATTTTGGCATTGTCAGTGGGTGACACCTAGTCACCTAATTGAATAGCCAGTATAGAGATTGCAAATTTATGTTGAAGTAATGGCAGAAAAAGTGCCACATGAAAAAGCACTTTTAGAAATTTGAGTTAAGACTTCAGTCACATAAACAGCAAAACTCTGAAAATAGTCTTCAAGGAAATATGGTTTATATAATACCTGCTTGACTTATAGAGAAAACACAAACTAAGAAGTGGGAATTCAAATTAAAATCAAGATAAGAATTGCCAGCCAACTTTCGCTTATCACACAACACAGCTCATAAATCACTTGTTTAACACAGATGCGATAAAGAAGAAACAAGAATTGGTCACAAATGCAACTTTGGGGAAGAAAACAACTTCAAGTTTCACTCTTACCTACACTTACCTGTATGGATTTTGAGGTGTGTGCGGAGATTGCTCGGGTCACTAAAGGCTTTGCTGCAGAAATCACATTTGTGTGGCTTCATTCCCATGTGCCCCATGAAGTGAACGTGAAGTTTAGAAGGAGAGATGAAAGCTTGAGGACACATGGTGCATTTCCACTTCCTTTCCTTGCTGTGCCCTGGTCCGTGGCTGCTGCTATGGCTCTGACTGGGGAAGGGGCTATGGATGTGACTACTCAGATGAGCCTTGAATTCAGTATAAGAAGCACATTCTTTTCCACAGTGACAGGTGTGCACATCTGGATGCTCAGGAACACCTTGAATACAAAACCAAACCTAGTCGGAACTACTACAGTTTTTGTTTGTTTGCTCATGATATAGTACCCTTTAAGAGAACCATTCTTCTCTCAATATTTTCAGTCTAAAACATGAGAAGTTTTGTCTTATGGTTGCAGGAAGGACTTCGACTCCAAAGGATGCAAAAAGACATATTCACAGAATAATGTAATTCTTAAGTATAATAATGGATTAATGATTTTTATAATCAGTAGAAACAAGGAACTAAGGAAAGCATCGATATGACACAATAAAATCAAGATACTTCTTAGTTTTGACATGAATTAAAAAACCTTACCTGTATAAAGTAAGGTAACCGTACATAACAGTGAGAAACAATAACGTGCAAACTGGACTTTATCTGGTTTCTGTAACCAACTACTGACCTGATACGGAGTAAATCTCTGAAATAACTATTGAGCTTCCCTGGCTGTACGATAACACCTATCATCTTTTTGTAAAATAGATACATTAAAACTCCAAATTTAAAAAAATGAAAAAATATACAAAAAGCAAGTAAGATTAAGGACAGCATCCATACTAAATGTCTTTAAACTGCTTACCAATTTGCCTGGCATAATCCCGACTATAATAAAAAACAAGCTCATGGTCTGGAGGGATATCATGTGAGGTACAGAAGTAAATCTTTCCATCATGAGGATAAGCGACCAGGTTCTGTTCTTCTCGGTTTCTATTCCACAAAAAAACAGAAAGGGTGATCCACTAAAACATATTTCTTTAACAAATACCCTGAAAAACAATATTCTTAACATAAGTCAGTTTAAAAGCCAGTGTGTTAAGTTGTTTGAGGGTTTAAATTCCCACTCGACCAATGAAACTGACTAGGATATATCATACTCTCTTGGCCTTAAAAGAAGGCAATGAGAAACTGTCTCTGAACAAATTTTAAGGCTAAAATGGGAAAATCTGAAAAGAATATGTTACAAGTTATGGAAGAATTATGCACTCGGTACCGCTATGCCACTAGTTCCATTGCAAAGCTTTCTCACCTGGCTTTCCGCACAAACATCATCCAATTACATTCATTTTCATCAGTTGTGAGAATGTAGAATTCCAGGATGTTATTGTGATACATCTGGCAGGAGAAAGACAAAAGGGACCATTCAGATATCTGACAACATCTCCACAGTGAGCACCTGAGCAGCTACATAAAGTAGCACTCGACCTATATATACCTCTATATATCATGTGTTCTGTGATTTGGCCTGAGTCCCCTTTGGAGTGAGAAGGGTAGAATATTTATTTATTTATTTATTATTTAAACTTATATGCCGCCACTCCCCTGGGGCTCGGAGCGGCTTACAAGAATAGCTAAAATCTAACAAAGTTTAAAAGCAATTTAAAACAATTTAAAAACAACAGTATCAAACATTAAAAGCCTGTCGGAACAGGTATGTCTTACATGCCCTGCGGAAAGCTGGTAAGTCCCGCAGGGCACGAACTTCAGGTGGCAGAGCATTCCAGACTGATGGTGCCACTGCTGTGAAGGCTCTGCGTCTGGTTGCCGTCAGACGCAAGGTCTTGACACTGGGGACTTCCAATAGATCTTGGTCCTCAGAACGGAGGGATCTCTGGGGTTGGTAGGGGGTGAGGCGGTCCCTCAGATACATCGGCCCCAGACCATGCAAGGCCTTAAAGGTGAGTACCATCACTTTGAAAGTGATCCGGTGCTCAATTGGTAACCAATGCAGCTGTAGTAAGATTGGTGTTATGTGGCATCTCATCGGAATTCCCGCAAGAAGCCGAGCAGCTGCGTTTTGTACCAACTTGAGCTTCTGAATCACCGACAGAGGGAGGCCAATGTAGAGGGCGTTACAGTAGTCCAGTCTTGAGATGACTGTGGCCTGGATCACCGTAGCTAGGTCGTCCCTGGACAGGTAGGGGGCCAGCCGTCTAGCCTGCCGCAGATGAAAGAAGGCGGTTCTGCTCACAGGCGGAGACCTGGGCCTCCATCGTCAGCAGAGGGTCCAAAAGGACTCCCAGACTCTTTACCAATGATGACGGGCGTAACGCCTCGCCATCCAGGGTGGGCAGATGGATGTCCCCACTGCCCGGTCCACCCAGCCATAGGATCTCCGTCTTTGCTGGATTCACCCTCAACCTGCTGGCACGCAGCCATCCAGTAACGGCCTCGAGGCACTGATGGAAACAATCGGGTACAGAGTCCGGTCGGCCTTCCATCTTCAGCACCAGCTGAGTGTCATCGGCATACTGATAACACTCAAGCCCAAAACCTCGAACCAGCTGAGCAAGTGGTCGCATATAGATGTTAAACAACAGAGGGGAGAGAATGCCCCCCTGAGGAACCCCACAAGATAGAGGGGACCTCTCAGAGACCAGGCCTCCCCTCTCCACTCGCTGTCCACGGTTGTGAAGAAAGGAGGACAGCCAGTTTAAAGCTGTCCCCCTGACTCCAGCAACAGCAAGGCGGTGGGTCAAGAGATTGTGGTCGACTGTGTCAAATGCTGCTGTGAGATCCAATAGCACGAGCAGCGCTGACCCGCCCTGGTCAAGCTGGCATCGAAGGTGATCCGTGATGGAGACCAGCACAGTCTCTGTCCCGTGCCCTGCACGGAAGCCAGATTGGAAGGGATCTAGTCTGGCTGTGTTGTCTAGGAATTGCTGCAACTGCTCCGCTGCTGCCCTCTCAATCACCTTGCCCAGGAACGAGAGATTTGAAACTGGGCGGTAACTGGAGGGAACCGAGGGATCTAAATCTGGTTTCTTCAGCAAAGGAGAGACCACCGCCTCTTTTAAACCCTCTGGAAAGACTCCTTGCTCAAGGGAGCTGTTTATGATCTTCAACAGAGGGTCACGTAATCCCTCCAAGCAGGATTTCACCAAGAGGGACACGGATCCTTTGTATTCAATCTCCAGTATTTCTCTCCAATTTCATCTTAGAAAATTCTTTTCAAAACTATGTCCATATCCTAGTCTGCATCTTGGACTTTCAGGAAAAGATGATGGGCTGTAGCTTTCACCCTAGTGGACTTCCACAGAGAATTATATCAGGTGAAGAAAAGCTCTGGTTGGCAATTTATCTTCAAGGACAAATTAAAGGAATTGCCTGAGAGGGCTCCTTAAGCCAATCGGAGCTGTGAAAACTAAAATGATGGTGAAGGAAACCACCTGGGAGATCTGGGAATCCATCACGCTCTCCAGCTAACAGCTTAGCCGGAGAGCTGGAAAGCAGGTCTCTAATGGGCATTGGACACAAAAGCTTCTCTTTCTTTATTCAACTTCAGTTTAGACTTGGCTTTGTAATATCTGGGATTAAAGGATTCTTGAACCTACCTGTGGTACTTCTGCCTTGGTAAGCTGCCTTCTTGTTGAAATAAGGACAGAAAGTTCAACCAGAACTGAAAGTACTAAAGTACTACACCTGAACTAATAAAGGTTGCAATGAACATAAAGGCTAGCAACAATATATGAAATATTTATTGATTATTTCACCTTGGATATAATTAATTTTGATTTATTCATTTTGAGTTATATGATGGTGTTTTTGAGGGAAAAATGCATTTGTTTGATTGAAAAGTGGCAGTGAATTGGTCAGGATTTTAAAATGCGGATAAGGCCAGGTGTATCAGTGATGGATAATATGGAGAAATGTCGGTTTCTCAAGAAACTACAACCCCTTCCAAGAAGCAGCATTTTATCAAGTAGTGCTTTATGAACTGGGAGGAATATTGAAGAAGTCCTCAGTGAAGTCTTTTTAAAGAGAAGATTGAGGATCGAAAATACATTATATGTTTTGAATAAACAGGATTATATAGAAGTAAATGTAGGAGTAAACGTAGTAGTAGTGGAGAATCAGAAAGTGTAGATTTGGATGTACTGGAACAGTAAGATATATTGCCAGAAGAGAAGGGAAATGAAGATTACCTAAACTGGGACTGCATAATCTTGACATCAGACAAAATGTTTAACAAAAAAGTGACTGAAGATCAGATTGAAAGAAGGAAAATTGTATTTGAGAACACTGAAGCCATGAGGAAAGAGATCTGGCATGAGCCTAGGAAAAAATATATAGCCAATTTATCAGGGAAAATGTGGCCACCAAGGAGGAGAAATGGTGTGGAAAAGTATGTACTATTAAATGTGAGGCATCTGTTTTGCTGATTAGCAGCTTTTGATACTATCCTTCCAGGCTTCCGTGTTGGAATGAGACTTGACGGCATTGCTTTAGAGCATCTCTGTTCCATACTGGAGGACTAAACCCAGGAAGTGCTCCTGCTCAACTCCTCTCCCATTTGCCATTTGGGGTCCTTCAGAGTTCTGTTTTGTTCCTCATGCTATTTAATATAAACACGAAACCACTGGAAGAGGTCCTACTAAGTTTTGGAGGTGCGATATGTAGATTTTTCACAGTTCTATTATTCCTTTCATCCTCAATCTAAGGAGGTTATCCTACATATATACAAGTGTCTGCCATCAGTAATAAACTAGATGGGGGCAAAGTGAAACCGAATCCAGATTAGACAAGGTCAATTGAAAAGCAGATCAAGGAATAGGGATTCATTTTGTGCTAGATGCAGTTACACCCCCGCTGAAGAAAGAGGTTTCCATTTGGGGGTACTATTGGAGTAAGCTTTGAATCTTGAAGCCCAGGTTTTCTTTGAGGCAAGATGTGTTTTTGTACACTTGATTGTGCACCACTGGATCTGGCTATGGTGGTATATACCGTATCCTGTTTGGACTACTGCAAGGCTCTAAATACCCTAAAGGCAACTGATCCTGTCTGATCTTGGTAGCTAAACAATATCAGCTGCTGAATTGTTTTAACTGCCTTTTCTCTTTTAATGGTTAGTGCAACAGTAAATCAGTAATGCAGTTTAATTCCAAATTAGTATTCACGTTTTTATTTATTTTTATGATAATAGAGATGTCTGACTCCAGCAAAGGATCACCGCCTTGTCGGGGCGCTGGAGCTTGAGCACCTCAATGATGTCATGAGCGA